CTGAGGCCTCTGCCCTTGCAGCTGGAGGACACAGTGATGTCCCCAGTGGGTCTCCCTCCAGCCCCAGGACTGTGGGGACAGGGCCAAGGGGCACCCCAGGAGTCATGTCCCTCTGGCTGGGGCAGCACATCTGGCAGGGAAGCTGCTGAGCTGCCAACAGTCCCACCAGAGGGCTGTGCTGTCACCGAGAGTGTGAAGGATGAGGATGAGGAGGGGCTCCCAGCCAAGGGAGGGACAGACCCCCCAAGCCCCAAGGCTTGAGTATCCCACTCCATCCCTGCAGTGATTCCTACAGCCACTTTGTGCCCGAGGGCGTCCTGGCCAACACCCTGGGGGTGATGTTGGTGGCCTTCGGGCTGGTGGTGGGCTACGTGGTGACACGGGAGGAGTGGAAGCGCCCGCCGCTGGCCGAGGAGTTGGCCCTCTCCATGGACTTCAAGACCCTGACGGAGGGAGAGAGCCCGGGTGGTGGCAGCCAGTGACACCCCCAGCTCCCTGATCCCTGGCACGGGCTCCTCGTGGTGTCAGGGTGACGAGGACAGCTGGGGAAGGCCACGCTCTTGGTGCAATGCTGCCCACTGGACTCAGCCTTGCTTGGCCTTAATCCTCCTCAGCTCTGCCCTGCGCAGCCCCCGGTGCCCCCCAAGCCTGGCCCAGCCCCGTGGGGATGGCAGTGCCACAGGCAAGGGCAGGGGCAGGGGTTGGAAGTGGTGCTGAGGTGTGAAGGAGGGGGGTCTCCAGGCTCTGCCCTGCTCTGGGGACAGGGGGAAGGAGTGCAGATTTCCCCGCAGTGAGCGGCCCAATCCCACAGCCCGTTCCCAGTGCCCATGGGCAGAGGGGATGTTTGGGATTTCCCACTCCCTGGGGATTTCCCATGCCCTCCAGCACAGCCACAGCCACACATGGGGGCTGCTCCTCACAAACAGCTCCCAGGGGGGTTGGAGTGACCCGGTGTCTGTGCAGGTTCAGCAGCTTCGTGTCCGAAATGTTCTCCCCTCGCGTGAGATGTGTTGTCTGCTCAATGGATGCTCCCAATGTAATAAATGTTTGCAGCTAACCCCTCCTCCTCCTGTCTGTACCCCCCCAGATCATCGTTTCAGGGGACCCCTGAGCTCCCACACGCTGAGGGTGGCTGGGAGAGGAGCCGCCCAAGGGGCTGGGGAAGGTGGGTGGGTGGGAGTTTGGAGTGGGATTGTCCTGTCTGACACTGCAGAGCTCAATGGTGGCTGTGTGAGCGATCCCGTGGGGACACCTCCAGGATCTGGCCACGCACTGATGTGCCCGTGGAAGAGGGGGAGACCCACTGCAACACGGAGGTGCATCCCTGAGATGGGAGCTCATCTCTGCAGAAAGCAGCTCCCTTCTGGGTTACAGCACGGGCAGCTGTGGAGGTGAAGCTCCAACATCCCAGTGCTCCAAAGCAAACACAGACCCCAGCAAAGCCCAAGCTGGGGGATTTTGCTCACCACAGCCCCCATATGCCATATCCTTCCAGCGTGGTGTGTCCAGCCCAGCCCAGCAGTGGAGGCTGGATGGTCACAGCTGTGAGGGGTGTTTGGCTGCAAAACTGAGCCCTGGGCTCAGCAGGGATGAAGTGAGGGGACCCTCAGGGTCTCGGGAGCTGCAGTGCTCCAGTGTCCTCAGCACCAGGCTGTGCTTTCCCAACTTAACCCAGAAACCTTGTGAGGGTGGGGAGGCCCTGGCACAAGTTGCCCAGAGAAGCTGTGGCTGCCCCTGGATCCCTGGAAGTGTCCAAGGCCAGGTTGGGCGGGGCTTGGAGCAACCTGGGCTAGTGGAAGGTGTCCCTGCCCATGGCAGGGGAATGGAGCTGGATGGGCTTTAAGGTCCCTCCCAACACAAACCACTGTGATTCTATGATGATGAAAACTCTCTGATGGAGTTCCCTCATCTATTTTATCACAATTATTATCCCCTATATTATTATATGCCCTTTGCTGACAACGCTGCTTCTGTCCCCTCCTGCTCCTGGCCATGCCAGGTCCCCATCCCCATCCCCACGCAGTGACTGCCAGACCCAACCCTTGCACCATCATTTCCACACCAAGAAGCACTCCTTCACTCAGCCCAGTGTGGGAAAAACAGCAGCCCAGACACCATTTCCAAGTGTTAACCATTTATAAATAAGTACATTTTTTCATACATACAGTTTTCATTGTACAGATTACAATCTGTATACATTGGGGGGGGGGGAAATGCATTCTTTTGAACTTTTCACATCTATCTCACAGCTCACATGTACAGACAAGAAAACTCTGCTCAAGCAAATACAGCAAAGGAAAAAATATGTTTTCTTCTTTCCTTAGAGATGAGAGGCAAAGGCCTCTGCTGTCGGCAGGGGCTGCTCTTCCCACTGCACAATATCACAACCGTGTGGTGTTCAATATATCAGTAGAGAGAACAGAACATGCATTGGATAATATACTGTACAGAGAGAAAGTCCTTTACATCAGAATTATAGAAAAGCTAAAGGAAAATTTAAGTGTCTTAAAGATCTTCCCAGCAAGTGTCTCGGAGGATGGCAACCAGGGAATTGTACAAAGCACAAGGCAGGTGCACTGGACGTGTTTGTACCCAACTCAGATCCTCTCGGATGTGAAGACAGAAGGGGGACTGAACGCTGAATGCAACACTATGGCAAAGAAAAGGCTGGACAGGGTGAGCCCGGCAGTGCTGGCAGAGTCCACACGAGTCTCTGGGTTGGCGGTGGCACGACAGAAGGGGCTGCACGTAGCACACAGTGCTGCTCTCAGTGCCTGGCTGGGCAGTGCACAGCGAGGCAGACCCGTGGTGACCCAGTTCCCTGGGCACAAGGCTCTCCCACCCACCCATCCCGACCCCGACCCGCTGGAGGAGACGCCTCCCCGCCCCACCGCTGTCCCCGGACAGCGTCACCCGAAGGGACAAAGTCTTTTGGCAGAGCAGCCCCTCTGTTGTCACAACCACAGGATGCGATCCCTTCGGATGGGACCTGGCTGCTGACTCCCCAGTACCGTGACAGCTGGAAAATGAGCAGGAGGAAGGACACGGCGGGTGGGCTGGGGGTCTGCTGGCTTCCCCGGTGACGCTGTGCTCCTCTCGGGCCGCTCTGTCCCAGCTGTGGTGAGATCCAGCTGTACATCAGGAGTTGGACACGAACGCATCTTTGCTAAAGAATTGAGCCCTTAGTGGTTTATATATTAGAAAAAAGAGTTTGACTGAATGAAAATCCAGCAATTATTCACACGAAGCTGAAAAAAAAACACGCAGATTCGCTTTCAAACCATTGTGCTTTGTGTCCAACACGCACCCCGCCGGACTGCGCGGGGCGAAGGCATCGATCCACAGAGGTCCCAGCGGGTACAGCAGCTCTTCCCCTAAGCCCTTGGGTAGACACTGACATCCCGGTAGAAGAGTTATCTTGAATTCCCAAGACTAAAACAAAGTACAACCACCAAGGAGCTCCCGACAGCTCACCACGGGCCCCCCCGGGCGAGGAAGGCGGAGGACGAGCAGGCACGACGGCTTGCTTGGTTCTCTAGATAAGGCGGAGCTGGCACTTCGGTTTTAGCTAAACTTCTCCTGGGTAACCCTGAATATACAGCAACCTTTGTGAAGGGGACTGAATCGCTCCCAGTTTAGTACCCACCCTGCTTCCAGAGCCGATCCCAGCGCGGCTCCGGTGTCTGGCAGACGCACACTCCCGTGTTCACGCCAGCCACGCGGCTCCCTCACAGCCAAGTTAAAGAAAAATAACCAAAAAGTTCAGTGCTCGAACAGCCCCAGCTGGGCACCGGTGCCACGGCAGACGGACAGACAGATGGACAGACACACGCCTCGGGTTGTCAGAGCCGGCACAGCCCCCCCCCGTAGCGACACAGAGAAGGCAGCTCAGGCTGTGCCTTCTTTGGAGACGGATCCCAAAGGATCTGTCTGTAAAACCCTCCCTTTCCTAAGCACTTCAGTGCCCACTCAAGACTGTGTTCAAAGCCCTCCACTGCCACTCCCAGCCTGGCTGGGGGGACCCTGCAGAGCCCCCCATCAGGTGGGTGTCCCCTCCCCTGGGACCACAGCATCCTCCTGACCTGGGAGACAAAGCAAGAGCTGATGAATCCCCACTGAGGGATGGGACAGACACCCACCACCTGATGCTGGGAGAGATGATTCCAGCTCTGCAGAGGCACACTTGGCTCTTGGAGCAGCCACAGGTGAGGATGAGAGACACCTGGTAGGAAGGTTGGCTGAAGAAAGGGGTCGATCTCAGCATCACCTTTGGCACCTTCCCCGTGCACCCCAAGAACTGAACCCGGAGTTTCAGTGTCATCAAGAACCTCCTTTACTCGGTGCATCCAAGAATCCTGCACTCACTTGAAGATGGGGCTCGCCAGCCGTGCCACTGAAGCCAGGAGGGGATGGAGGCACCAGCTGGCAGCATTGTCCTGCATCTTAATTACCCAAAGAGTAATTAAATATGTAGCATGGACAAACAGGACAGCACCATGTCTGAAACTCTGGATGTGATCCCACAGTGCAGCCCGGGCCCGTCAGACCTGGATCTAAGAGTAGAGGATGAAAGGCCCTCAGGTGAGATCCGACCTCGTGCTCCCCCGAGTGCAACAGGACCATGGCAGCACCACACAGAACGACCTGCTTCTCCTCCTGCCAAGCCCAAATCATGACTTTGAAGACACAGGGGAGTGTGTAAGAACAGCTTTTCCAGGGAGAGATGTGCTCCTTTACCCACCCGGCGACCACAGCAGCCATCCTGCCTCGACTGTCCCTAAGGGAATTGCTGGGGAAGTGCCTTAAAACCGCTGCAAATAATTTTGTATTCAAAAATTACTCAATCTGTTGATGCTTATATACAGGAGTCGGTTCTTGTGCTATAAATGTTATGATTCATTGCTTCGTTTCTTTTCTTTTTTTCTCCTTTCTTTTTTTGAAAAATACACTAAGAGACAAGAGCTGTTTTGCTATTTTTCTAATGAAGACACTACTCACGCTTAAATATCCAGTATTTATCATAGTAACAAATTCAAACAGTAAAGTGCACCCATTTACAGAGAGAACAGATGGAAAACCATTAGTGCAAGAATTCTGTGAAAAATGTAACACGTGGAATTGTGAAAAAACCTGCACGCCGCAGTGTTTTAAGCCTTCTTCAGCTTGGTGTCCGTGTTGAAAAGTGTGAGCTGTTTTCATCTTCCCTTGAAACATCTTCATAAGCCCGAAAGTTACACACAGAAGTGCTGTGAGGGGACGTTCTGAAGGACAGGACTGGGAGCACAAGGCAGTGAGCAGCGAAAGCAAAGCACGGGCAGTTCTCCCATCGCTGCTCTCGGACCGTCCCGTTGGCATCTCAGCGGGGAGAACCGGAGCGCGGCCACAGTGCGCCTCGCTCGGCCGGGAAAAACAGGGATGGGGCTGAATTTGGTTACTTTTTCCTTTCAAAGAAGCAACTAAAGGTAGGAAGCCACCTGGGCAGAAAGCTGGAGGACAAGAGGTGCTGAGCAAAGCGACTGGTGCAGCTCCAGACGCGGGATACGTGTGCCGGCCGTGGGCGCGCGGGATGCGGAGGAGAAATCGGCCGTTCCTTACAAAGCAGAACGTGCTGCTTCAAAAAAGAGAGGGAGAAAGAAAACCATCGCACCCCCTTTGCAAGGAGAGAAACAGGGCACGGAGCTGGGTGCCCCCACCGAGGGGGTCCCAGTGTGGCCCCCGCTTTACCCTGTGGTAAAGCAAAGAGTCAGCGCTGGGTCGCACCTCAAGGAAGAAAACACCAACCTCAATCCAAATACCGACTCGGACAAAGACCAAACAGCCCCAAATGGCCAAAACTCATCGAGGAAACACTCCCCTGAATGCTCTCCATGTGTCTATGAGACACAAGCCTCCATCACCCCCCAAGGTTTGCATGTCCCAGCTCGCTCTGAGCAAATTAGGCAACAAAACAGCAACAAGATATGCTGAGCCCCACACAGGGAAGAAAACAAAAAGCCCCATCGAAGCCAGGGTTTGCTTAAGGAGTTTCGGACCCAGTCCTGAGCTGGTGGGAATGGCTGCAGCTGCAGTGAAGTGGCGCTGGGATGTGCTCACTGACACCAGCCAAGGTTGGAGCCCGTGATTTGGTTCAAGAAGTCTTGCAATCGATTCACATTTAGCCCTTTGGAGACCCCGGAAGGTATCGCTCCCCCTGCTCAGCACTGAGATCGCTCCCAAGAGTTGATATGAGTGAGGTTCGGCATCGGGCAACAGGCACTAAGTTTGCTTTAAAACAAGCTACAGGGTTATCGCTCTCCCCCTCCCTGGCATCCCACCCTTCGCCCTCAGGAACGGAGGAATTCCCACCAGGAATAAGGGAATCGGTAAAGGAAGTTCTTACCCCCCCCCCAACCCAAAAGAAATTTTCGGCGAATAACTGAAAACTTATTGAAAATCCTATAAAAAGGATCTTGGAACTGGCCCCTGCTTTTCACGTCGTCTTGATGTGACTTGCATTTGGTTAAAACCCCAGAAACAAGAGAAAAAACCCCCAAATGAAAAATGTCCTGAAATAGGTAACATAAATAAATTATAAATAGGTGTCTTTTAACTACAGCTCCTCAAAAAGCAAAACATGGTCTCTGCCATGTACAGCTCTGGAACACAGCATTGCTTTCCAGGATTTTGGGAAGGGATCTTAGAGAGGTGCAGCCCTTGCTACAGCCCTGGCTCTCTGGTGGGAGAGAGCTGGAGGGAAGGGGTGCTGCAGGGCTGGGATTGCAGAAGGACCCTTTCTCTTTTGAGACCCACCGTGCCAATGTTCTGCATCCTCATCATCAAAAAGAAAATAAATTAAAAATTAAAAATTGTGATTTTTCTCCTTGAATACCACTTTTAAAGTCAGATTTTTGTTTTTCCTCTCAAGTGATAAATCTCCCCCCACAAATGAAGGCCCCAGCACTGACCCTCCCTGGTGCAAATGCTGTGTGTGAGGAAGTTGGTGCAATCCCGGTTCACACACAACAGGTTCCTGGCCAATTCCCTTGGCTGATTAAAACACGTAAAGAAAGGGCCAACCTTAAGCCCTCAACGCTTGTAAAACGTCCCAGAGCAATGAAATCAGTGTAGGGGCACCTGGCAGGTACTTGGAAAGCAGCAAAGTGATCCCCACCCCACCACCGACGACGCGGTTCAAGAAGGAAGGAATCCAACTGGGATTAAAATGCTGGAAACCAGAGGAATCAGGATGGGTGTTGTGCATAGCTACTGGTGTTACATCACATCACCCTCAGGCCTCGCTCGCTGAGGGTAATTTGCTCTTTGGGGCAAAGAGCCAAACGACCTGGCTGGCACGGGGACCCGCAGATCAAGCCTTGGGAAGGCTCCTGTGATCCCTAGGAATTCCCATCAGAATTGAGTAAGAGCTCATCGAGACAAAAGAAACCAATTTAAATCGAAGGCAATTGTCTCTTGAAAAAGAGCTGGTTACCTCCCGCTGCGTAGGGATATCTCTGGGCCACCCCGCACCACGGACTAAGATATCCTGGTTGGAATTTTGCTGGAATTGGGCAAACGATACTGGCTCGGCTGATGTTGGCTTCACGGTCAGCTGGGGAACGAAAGGGCTGGAGCACGTGCATGGCTGTCTGACCACCACACAAAGTACCGGAGAAACTTGGTCATGTAGCTACCAGAGAGAAATAAAAATAATAATAATAATAATAATAATAATAATAATAATAATTAATAATAATAATATGCATGGAAATCAAGCTTGGAAGTGTGTGCTGAAAACATGAGGGTCTTACTCCAACAAGCGTCTTTTACACATTAGACTCCACAAATGGTCTCTTTGGTTTGATTGGGGACGTCTGCCCTTGCCTGGAGTCCCTGGAGAGCTGCCTGTACAGGTTATCCTGGTAGGCCTGCGCCACGGGCAGCGTCCTTGCCACCTTGACGTCGGGGTACGAGGAGGCTTGGGTGACTCTCTCCAGGAGGTCTCCCCGGGACCCATTGGCCAGCATCCCATGGGGGCTGTAATAGTCTTCCTCTAGCAAATGGCCATTCTGTGCATTGTTGGTTTTGTTATAAAAGGCAATGTTGCTGATTGAAGAGGGCGGGCTAAAGGATTCCGGCTGGGGCAGATTGCCAGGAGACGTGGGACTAATGACAGTGTCCACTGACGACACGGCCCAGGTCCGGTTCTGCTGATGGAGGTGGGGGTACTGCTGAGTCCGAGCGGTTTTATCTATGATTCCCATGAAGGGCGTGGTCCGGGAGCGGGCCGGCTCGCTGGGATAACCCCCCTGCGTGGGGGACACCGGAGAGAGCTCGTCGCACGATCTGTCGTAGGCCGGCTTGAGGGGAATCTCCATTTGCTGAATCGAGGCAGAAGGGCGGAAGTTGGGAGTCAGGTTGGAGGTGGAGGAGATGCTATTGCTGGAAGGGGAGAAGCGCAGGCCCACGCTTTGAGAGTGCAGCAGCGGCCTGGGAGTCGGCGGGTGAGGCTTGATTTCGCTGGGATTAACTGAGATGGGCCTTCTTATGAGATGAGACACATCCGGAGAGCCCAGCTGGTTGGCGGGGAGGGGAGAACGCTCCAGGTCGAGCTTGGAGTGACACACGGGATAGTAGGAAGCGGACTGGCTCCGCCCGATCTGAGGTGTCTGGCTGTACCTCATCCCCCCTCTGTACGCCGAGGACGGTCTCTGGGGAAGGTCTTCCTTGGCCAGCCCTCCGTGCTGACAGATGGCCCCGGCACTGAGGCTCGCCTGCACGTGCTGCACGGGCCTGCTGTCGCCCACGATGCCCCCGATGGAGCCCTGGTAGACCAGCCTGCTCTGGCTGACCCCCATGTCCCCCGACGACGACTGGTACTTGCTGGCCATCGAGTGGGCAACCTGGCTGTACGCCCCGGTCGGGATGACAGTGCTGGAGTGGACGGCGGAGCTGGGCTGGTTGCTCCTCACGATCTGTGCCTTGGCTGGCTGCAGCCTCAGCCCCTGCTGGGGCACGGCCACGGGGAGCTGGGGCATCTGGAAGGATCTCTGTGTCATCTTGGAGAGCGGAGACTTGGGTCTGCCGGGGAGCTGGGTGACCCCGCTGGGCTCCTGCTGGTAACGCACCGGGGAGCCCGACTGTGACCTGTAGACGCTCATGCTCTCTGCAGGGGGGCTGGCGCGGTACTGGGGGCCTCTGCGAAGAGGAGACGGCGGCGGGCTCTGATATTCCTTCCCTTGGCTTCCGACGGGAGGGGGGCTGAAGCGGTACGTGGAGCCCTGGTGAGCCGGGGACGTGTGTGGAGGACTGGGCCTGTAATGTGAGTTTTGGTGCGTCGGAGACAGAGCAGGAGATGTGGACTGGTAGCCCTGCCTGGTTGGAGACCCCACGGAGCTGTTGGACCTGAAATCAAAGACCTGATGAGAGCCAAGAGGTGAGCCGGAGATATAGGCCGAGTCCCTGTGAGCTGGGGACGGGGGTGGGCTCTGGATGATGGGCAGCCCTTGGTTTGGCCTGGACTCTGTCTGCAGGCCAATGGAAACATTTTCTACGTCCTGCTCGAGGTACTCCTCCTCGAAGATATCCTGCACAGAGTACAGCTCTTCGTGCTGGACTTCGGGTTCCGGCTCTGCCGGGAGCGGCGGCGGCTGCTGCTGCTGCTGCTGCACCTGCCTGCACTCCTCCTCCACCCGCAGCAGCAGCCGCTGGATCTCACGGTTGTTGGGACACAGCTTGATGGCCTCGTTCAGGTCCTCCAGGGCTGCTGAAAACTGCCTGCTCGACAAAGGGACAGAAATGAGAACTGAAGTTACTCTGGATTGGAATGGAGCCATTTCCAGAGGCTCCAGAGGAGGGTAAGTGGCTCGTCTGTGTTACTGAGGGAGATGTTTGTCATTGCTACTGCTCGCTGTGCCTCTCACACTCTGCCTTATGGGTCTCCCTTGGATTTAGTTTATCCAAACTGAAGGAAAATTCTGGAGAAGAGGGGAACGCAGTCCTGAGATGGCACAACCCAGCCTAGCAAACATGCCTGTACTCCGTGGTGTGCATTAGGACTAATTAATTACTGCCCTCAGCACCTCACTGAGCTTCACCTCAGCGTGAGCAAAGGGGACACCAACACATAGCTCGCCACGAGCTCGGCTCAGCACTGCTGTAAACAAGCTCTGACAGAGCTGCAACCACTTATGCCAGTGAAAATCCAACTTCTGCCTGATGCCAAGACCACACAGCATCAGGGCTGGCTCCAGAGCTCAGGGGCTCCCACGGGTCAGCGCTCTGGGCATGGCTTGTCTCTCCAATTTTGCAATGGATTTGTCCAACTCCCTCGGAACGAAGGAATCGAGCAACGTGCTGGAGGCTGTGAGTTGCCTGGGGAAGCCTTTGTGGGGGAAAGGCCAGCCTGGGAGGTGCAACAGGGAGGTGGGGGCTTGGGAAGGGGGTTATTTACAGGGGCACTGTTTGCTTTGGAGCAGACCTATGTGTTTGAACATGACTGTCATCTGGGAAAACCCACCCAGATGGGGGAAAACTCCCCCACCAGTAATAAACCCCCCAGAACCTCCCAACACCAGCCTAATCTTTTGCACAAGCCATTGAAGACCAAGAGGAGGAAGGAAAAGCCTCCTCCTCTCCAGGCTGTGTGACCCCAGAGGTGCTGCTGGGCACAGACTGGGACAGGGAGAAGCAAAGCCAAAGGGGTGACATTTTCTGCTGGAGAGACCAGGGGACAAAAGGACGCTGGTATGTGGGGGGCTGATATCATCTGGAGAGGAACATGGGTCTTAAGGTCCCTTGCAAATGTTTTGGGAAAGGCATGAGGTGCATGTGGCTCAGCTCGCAGGGCTCCTCTGTGGAACAGAAGGTCACATCAGGACTTGGTGCACTGCACCAGCTGGGCCAGGAGTCCCGTTCCACACTTGCCTCCAGCATGGAAGTTCAAATGGTGGTGTCTGCTGAGCTGGGGTGTTTGCACAGGTGGGCTCACACATTCCCTGCACTGCCACGTGAGGCCTTTCAGCTGCTGTTTAAACTGAGATGCAACGACAGCGTGCCCAGCCCTCGAGAACAGGACTCCCAAGCAGCCCCCCTGCTCATTTAGGAACGGCAAATTAACCTAATCTCACGTGTTTTAGCCTTCAGAGAGCTGGACAAGGGGGATCCCAGGGCTGCAGCTCTCCAGGAGCTGGCTGCAGTGCTCTGAGCACAGCTCTGTCTGGACACTCCCTGGCCGGCGCCTGCCTGGAGCCACTGCACAGCTGGTCAGCCCTGGTAGGAAAGGCTGCAGGACACAGAGGGGACCACCACGAGGAATGAGTCTGCCCTCTTGCACAACACAGGCCATGAGTCATATCTTGCTTCAAGTCCAAGTTGTGGTTGAGCTAAAGTGTACTCTGAAAAAGAACACCCCACTCTGCTGTCCAGGTTTCCAGTGTCGTAAGATGTCCAGACAAAGTTCCACTAAGACAAACCTCTCAAAACACTTCCATTCAGAATTCACCAATTGAGGGAGGGGGGTTACTCTGGAGTTTTGAGAAATTTGTGATCTCATTAATGAACACTCCTTGGCCATTTCTTCCCAAGGGGGCAATGCACGGCTTTGCAGAGTGGGTGCCCATGCTGGGGTGGCCAGGCTTGCAGAGACCAGCCCCTCACACCTTCCTCTCTGTCCCTCCTCACCTGCTGCTGCGTTTGGCCCTTGCTCTTGCATAGTAAGCTTCGTAAGACTTCGGTTTCAGCTCCAGAGCTTTAGTGGCAAACTCCTCCGCCATCCCAAAATCCTGCCATTACAATGGGTGTGCAGGTCAGTGACTGAACAGATACAGAAATAAAAATATATACAGCTTGGGAAGAAAACAAACTTAATATGGATTTTTTTTTTTTTTTTTTTTTTTTTTGCACATAGCATGGGAAACTTGATGGTACTGGAATGTTTCACGTGGGTTCAACATCATTTACAGCCAGAGAGTTATGATGGCATGTCCAAAAAAACCTCTGGTAACACCCTTGCTGTCATCACCCCCAGAGGCCAGAGTGCCACTGGTTCTGTTCTCATTGTGTCCTCAACAAGTGCATGCAGATCCCTCTCCAACAACCTACAGTCTTGAGGAAACATCTGGTCTCGCAGAGGCTGGAATGTTATCTCATGAAGGATTTTTTCCCATAGTTGAAAGCCACAGGAAACCTTTCCCATGCCCTCCCCCTCCCTCTCTGCACCACACTGACACTCTTCAAGGGCCTGACGAAAACTGCCTGTGAAGGACAGGACTGTGATATCTCAGTGACCTGTCTGGCAAAGGTCCCCTATCAGTGCCACCTGTCCCACTGTTCCTCACTTCTCCCCTACACCTCACCTGGGAGGATATTTTGGGAGCAGGCAGCGTGGGATGGGATTGCTCCAGGTGCTTTCCAGTGGCAGTGCCACGAGACCAGACTGTCAGGTCTGGTTCAGCCCTTGCTGCTGTCCTCCCTTGCCTTGTCCCAAATGCTCCATGTCCCACTAAGCTCAGCTTAGTTGAAGCTCAGCACTTGGGAAGGAGAACTTTTCCCTGTGGAGAGGATTCCATTTCACAGCTAAGCTTTGGATTGCTGACCTGAGCAGCTCTGGGAGAAAGGAACAGTGCTGCTCCTGATTTGTTCAAAAACGTGGGAAGCCAACTCTTGCTATGGGGATGCCCTGCCTGGGGAAGCTCATACTCTATTTGCACCTTCAGTAGCAGTTACTGAGGAGATACTGCCCAACAGACTCAACTGGGAATGTAGTCAAGGCAGGTATTTTTATGGTCTCTTCTACAGGTGCAAAAACTGCAGGAGCAATTAAAAGCCTCTGAACTTTTCTTGCCCAAAACCTCACATTCTCCAGTTAAGGATAAATCAAAAATCTTGTCCTTAAAGCACAGGACAAGAGCTGGAGTTGCTTAGCTGTGAGTTGGCTGATTTAAAGTCAAGTTTCACACTTCTTCTCCAAACTATGTTTGTTCCCCAGCACTAAGATTTTACTCCCATTGCTTTCCATCCTTCTCCCTCACATCTCAAAGAAATGAAGGTGTCACTTCCCCTCCAGTGTAACCTTTGCTGGCTCATGGCCTTGGCAGAGATGTTACTTTTTGAGTTTAAGGGGACTTTAATTTGTAAAGGTGAAGGCCCCTGCACGCCAAGCCAGGGGAGGTGGCACTTGTCTGCTGGCAGAACGGGAATCTGCACGAGCTGGTCTGGATGCTGCCAGATGGGAAAGGGGAGAGTGACAGGGATCTGGCAGTTCTGGGAGGAGAGGGAGCCTGTGGGGGTGTTTCTGGATGAGTCACTGCCCTGGGGAAGTGCAAACCCCCTAAGCATATGCTCCTTCATTTGAAATTAATTAGTATTCAAAGGAGCACATCTCCTGGCTCCTCCTCATCACTGCCCCAGAAAGCTGGAAAATGCCTCCACCCACCCCCATGTGACGACGTGAACATCATCATCAAAAGGGAGCAATAAAAAATTCAAAGGGCTATAAACATAGCAATGAATTTTTAATCACCTGAAACGAATATTAAATCATTACTGCTTTTGAATCATAAAACGTCAGCGCCCCGTGAAGGACAAAGCAGGTTGGACAGAGGAGAGATCTGAGAGGTCAGAGCACGGTGTCTCAGCAGAGGCACAAAGGTGGCAGGTTGGGCTTAAGGCCATGAAAAGAGGGGGGACTCACGTTCATTTTCCTTCGACACCGGGACAGGTTGAGGAGCAGCGACACCTTCAGCTCACGGAAGGTTTTCAGGTCTTCTCCAAACCCTTCCCTGGGGAACTTTTTCAGGGCGTACTGGTAGCGCTGGGCAGCCTCTTTCACTTTACCTTTCTATTAGAAGGAAAACACGTCAAAACACACCCTTGGGCTGAGTTTGCTTCCCCGCAGAGAACTCACTCGCCAGCCCCAGGAACGTTTTAGGTGGTTAAGGAAACACAACTTCACTATTTAGCTCTTTTCTAGAAAGGAAAGCCAGAACATTTGATCAAGGGAACATCTGAGCTGGAAAGGCAGATGCCTCGTGCAAGTTGAGATCTCCCACTTGGTACAGAGCTGTCACACTACAGCAGGAAACACGGCAGAACTGGTGTTAGCTCGATACAACTCCATCTGCTTCCTGGCTGGATGGTCTTTTGGGCTGGGTGATCCGTTACCCGTTCCTGGAGAACACCCTCCATCTAAAGCTTAATAGTAAGGAATAGGAATTGTGGGACTTTGGGTGGAGCCCTGGGGCTCAGAGAAGCCTCTGCAACAGCAAAGATAAATGTTACAGCACCAACGTGGCTCTGAACTTGGACAAACAGGTTGAGATCCACCTCCCTGAATTTAGACATCTAAAAATCAGGTGTCTCCATCTAAGTCTGGTAACTGGGTTCCTTTTATAGTTATTGGGACGCAACAGTCACCTTCAAAGGTGACTCATCTTTGCTATTTTGGGCACCTAATTTTGGGATGGGACAATGTGAGCCCTGGAGGGGGGCAGCCACACAGCCAGGGTGAGAGAAAGAGGGCAGGATGGGATCTAGGACACAAGCCGTTCCTGATGACCCAGACATAAATTTTGCAGCTATGAATAGTGAGTTTTAAAAACTTGTAGACTCAGGTTTCTCAGCTGTATCGCGTATCTCTGGCAGATAACTCCTGTTACAATGCCAGCTTTGCATATTTTCTGCTTCACCCTTAGAGCCTCACAGTGAATCATTGTTGTACTTGCACATTTTCTGTGTGTGTGCAAATCTCCAGGTTTTTAAAGATCGGCTTAAAATAAACAGAGAGCAAAAAAGACACTCTACTGTAGCAGTGGAATGTCTCCCACGGGCTACAGGACACGACAAAGCCAGCTGTGTCCTGACAATCTGCCTTCATTGCAAAATGTTTCTTCCAGGAGTTTTTCTGGGATATCCTATCCCGTCGCCCCGTTCCCCAGCAGTGAGCCCACCAGGTAAGGACAAGGCTGCCAGATCTGATGCCATGGCAGCAGCACTCCCAACAAACACTTGGGTTCTGGTGTTTTCAAAGAGGAGACGAGGTGCTGGCTCAAATCCAGAGCGACTTGGCTTTGCTTCAGCTTTGTTACAGAGCTGGGCAATCAATCCCCCCTTCCCCAACCCCACTAACCAAAACCAAACGGTTTGGAACATGAGAAATGCTTTGACCTGCCACAGGTTAAGGAGGCAGCATTAGAACCACGGTTTGGAGAAGCCCAACCACTGACCCAACACAGCCCAAACCTCCCACCAAGAGATGCTGCAAACTGCATCTGTTGCCTTTTCCCAAAGCCACTCCCCTCACCTTATAAAACATGTCTCCCTCCTCCATCAGCTTGCTCAACAGGATGATCATGATGTCTGGTTTGGAGGTTGCCATCGCCCATGTTGCTGGACCTGTAGTGTACAGGATGCATGATGGGTAAAGAACTCATACAATGCAAGGGTGGTAGGAAGCTGGGTGGAAAAAATACCCTGGGGTGGGAATTTCTGCTGGAGAGAACAACTTGGCATGGTCAAAGGGCAGAGTGCTCCAAATGATCGAGCTGATAATTCCTCTGGCACTTAAATTAATGTCATCCCCATTGCACTGGTTTTTCTTTGCAGTCATTAATGCCAATCCCAGTGGCCTGGGAAAGGATGGAGCCGTTTCCACAAGAGGGCAGTGCTGAATGTGGAACTGGCTGGGATGGGGGAAACAAACTGTATTTAAAAGGAAAAAATCAGAGTGGTTACATAAAAGCATTTCTAAATTAAAATCTCTGCAAGTGTACTGGGGAAATCTGCAGTTCGGCTGTCGATAGGTGGTTTGTGGTTAAGTGGATTGTGATTTCCAGCTTCACAAGATGTGAAAGACTAGAGTAGAAAATCCATTAAGGCAGAAAATACGACAAAGGGAAGGTCCTGTCTAAGTGCTGCTGGTGCCGAGGGCGTCGTGGGGCTGGGGACACTCTGCCTCTGCACAGGGGCCACCCTGCAGAGCCAGCTCTGATCTCAAGCACTAATACTGTGAGGGAAGGGGTGGCAAAAATTTGGGGACAACTCATTAGTGGGGGTGAAGAATAAGTCAACAATATTCTATAAGTATATTCAGTACGTTTTGGGGGAAGGAGGTTAGTTTTTGAGTTCAAGTTATTCTCTGCAACAGTCATTAAAAAAATTATTTGAAGGTGAGGTAAATTAAAAGATTAGAGGTGTTGGGGTCGCATGCAGGCTAAATCAAACAGGAGAAAGCAAGGCTGACAAAGCTATCAGATCGAAGCTGATGCTGACAGCAATGAGATATACCTCGTGGGCGACTCGGTAACGTCTGACAACCTTCAAAGAAAGGAGAAAACAAAAAGTTGTAGGAGAGAGGGGGAAAAAAATGGATGAAGGTGTGAAAAAAAAAAAAAAAAAGAAAGGAAAAAAAGCAGCTGTGAGAGGCAGGCAGCAAGGAAGCCAATGCACCAGCAAAATCCCCTTTCACAGGAAAACGTAACGTGAGCGGCTGTGTGGCGCAGTGCAGGTACACTGAGGTCTGGAAGCATACACAGAGCGAGTGAACGCAGCAGCTCACAGCAAGGCATGGACAGAGTACACTTGTCGACTCAGACTAGTAAAGATAGAAAAAGCATTACCAGAGGAAAGACCTTGCCAAAGAGACAGTTGTTTATTGATTAACTTTTGCTAAAGTAATACGACAGCAAAAAAAAAAAAAAATAATAGTCCCCGTTTCACTAGGAAGGCAGTGCTGACTCGCCGGCTGGGGCTGAGGCTGCCTCGGGGTTACACTCGTGTTTTTTAGGATGCCAGCCCCACTGCTCGAGTCCTGCCTGAGCACAGAGCCGATGGCAGAGTCCCCTTGTCCCTACCTATCTTTGCTCCTTTCTTCAGGAGGGTGACGACGACCGAGGTGTTGCGGCAGCCGACGGCCCTGTCGAGGGGCCGCATCCCGCTGTAGTCGACGTGCTCGATCATGGCCCCATGGTCCACCAGGAACTGAACCTGCAAGGAGAAGCCCAACAGTCAGTTCTGCTCCTGGGAGAGACCTACATGAGGTGCTGGGGACGTAGGACAAGCAAAAGCTTGTTCTGCTCCACTGCCTGAGCTAAGAACGCCTCCATGGGGTCTGAGGGTACATCGTGGGCAGCAGGTTGAGGGAGGAAATTCTGCCCCTCTACTCCATTCTGGTGAGATCCCACCTGGAGTAGTCCAGGTTCCCAGGGGTCCCCAGCACAGGAAGGACATGGACTTGTTGGAGCAAATCCAGAGGAGGCCATGGAGATGCTCTGAGGCCTGGAGCCCTTCTGCTCTGGAGACAGGTTGGAAGACCTGGGGGTGTTCAGCCTGCAGAACAGAAGGCTCCAGGGAGACCTTAGAGTCCCTTCCAGGGCCTAAAAGGGCTCCAAGAGAGCTGGAGAGGGACTTTGGACAAAAGCCTGGAGGGACAGGACAAGAGGGAGTAACTTCAAACTGAAAGAGAGTAGGTTTAGTTTGGATATTAGGAAGAAATTCTTCCCTATAAGGGTGGTGAGGGGCTGGAATGGAATTCCCAGAGAAGCTGTGGCTGCCCTATCCCTGGAAGTGTCCAAGGCCAGGTTGGATGGGGCTTGGAGCAACCTGGGCTGGTGGAAGGTGTCCCAGCCCATGGCAGAAGGGGTGTTGATGGTCTCTAAGGTTCCTTCCCACCCAAACCATTGTGTGATTCAGCCTGTGTGGAAGCACCTGCACGAATGAAAGATTGGGACCTTCTGCGCTTATTGCTACAGCAAGCTGAACTGTACAATTCTTCTGGCTTTTACACCAACTGCCCATTTCCTTCTGGGTGCATCCCAGGCCACTCACCACCTCTGCGTCGCCGTAGAACGCCGCCAGGTCCAGCGGCGTGCGCCCGTTCTTGTCCGCGTGGTCGGTGGCAGCTCCGTTCTCCACCAGGGAACGCACCACGGGCAGGTGGCCCTTCAGACAGGCCCAGCTCAGGGCTGTCAATCCCTCCTTGTCCATCAGAGAGATGGAGGCACCTGAAAGGACAAGCATCGGTTCACTCCAGTGCTCTCTCAGCTGCTGAGCGCCGCAAACCACCCGCTCGGCGACGACAGCTTGTTTTCAGAGAGCTCTGTACATAATTATTAATTCCTTTATTAACGTTTCTCCCACCACAGATCCCACCCTCCGTGGCGACTTCAAATGCACCAGTGGGAACTGTGGCAAACGAGTTGATTCACACCAAGCTGCAAACTTTTTCGCACCTACCTCTGTGGGCTTTCCTGGCAAACATCTGAGCAGCAGGGTGGATCTGACATCCCTCGTCTGAGACATCAATCTTTCTTTTTAACTGCTTTTTTTTTTATTTAATCCAACCCCATTCCAGCCTGTGTGAGTCAGAGATGAAGACCATTTTGCTGTTTCAGCAGGTCACCACGGGGAACTAAGTCAATTCGGCTCAGTTCTAAAAAAGCACATATTTTCCCCTCTTCACTCCCCTCCCCTTTACCCAAAACGACACAGTTTCCAGCAGTATTTCTCCCTGAACTTTACCCAATATAAATACAACGTTGTGGGATAAACTCCTGCCAACTGCAAGCCAAGGAGAGAGGGACTTGACGTTTTCTTGGATGAGGGAATGGCGCTGCCATACCAACGGGTCAGTGCTGCTCCACATGGCATATGGATACGGAGAGGAGAGCTGAACAGCAGCTTCAACTGAACACTCCTCTTCGTGGCATGAAGACAACTCTTGTTGCCATGGCACAGAGCGTGCAGGGATGATCCACACCAGCTCTGCTCCTCCGAGGAGCTGCAGCTACCTGCGGGATGCTCCTGCCAGCAGCTGGGAGGGATTGCTGCTGCAGTGGTTTTCTCCTGGAGGTGAACTCTAAACTTCCCAGCATGAAATCTTTCCTGGCTCCAGAAGAACGCTCAGCAAGTGGGGGAGGGATGTGGATTTCCTGACCATTCAGGCTCATCCTGGTTGACGTGTCCCCCGTTCACACGCGTTGCCCGGCTGGCAGCAGAGTGAGAGGGCTCCCTGCTGGCACAGGGTGTTGTTTGAGGAGGGAAATAACACGGCAGTGTTTTCTCCAGGAGTGTTCAGACACCCCTGCCCAGCCCCGAGCTGCCAGCACAGCGCGGAATGTCAGTGAGGGAGGGGACAATCAGAAGTGCCAAAGAGGGACACGGAGGCTCCAAGGTGCAGGCCAAGGGATGACAACTTAGAATCACAGACTCATTAGGTTGGAAAAGACCTCTAGGATCATTAAATCCAACTGTTCCCCCAGCACTGCCAAGCACTAACCCGTGTCCCCAAGTGCCACATCTTTAAATCTTTTAAATCCCTCCAGGGATAGTGACTCCACCACTGCCTGGGTCAGGCTGTTGTAGGACTTGACAACCCTTTCAGTGAAGAAATTTTCCCTAATATCCAAACTAAACCTCCTTTGGAGAAATATGAGGCTGTTTCCTCTTGTCCTGTTGCCTGTTAGCAGGGAACAGAGCCTGACCTCCCCCTGGCTCCACCTTCCTGTCAGGGAGTTGTGGAGAATGAAAAGGTCCTCCTCGAGCCTCCTTTTCTCCAGGTTGAGTCGTCCCAGCTCCCTCAGCTGCTCCTCATCAGACTTGTGCTCCAAACCCTTCCCCAGCTCCTCTGCCCCTCTCTGGACACCTCAACACCTTGCCAGCCTTCTCTCACATTGCCCACACTGCACCCAGGAGCCCCTCTGGAGCTCTGGGAAAGCTCTTCCACATGATCCTGAACTGACCCAAGGACAAGTTTTGCTCAGGATAAAGCCTCATTTCATTCCTGCTTATTTGAACCAGACACTTCCTTCCATTCAAACCATCGAAGTCTTCTCTTGTGTTCCCCCTCTGACTCTTCTGGAGCAGGTAAGAAAGTTCCTGCAGTAAGAGGGAATCCTGGAAAGCCACGTCATCACTCAGCCTTCCCACTCGCCAGTGGAAGGACACCCAATACCACAGGGTGACAGGGCCAGGCTCCAGGGTGTCCCTGCAGTGCCAGCTGAAGGGCTGAGCGAGCAGACAACACACACCACCCCAGGGATGCCAAGAGGCTGCTCCAAGGCACACTGGGCATGACCTTCATGGGAACACTAAGCTCCAGAAACAGCCCTGGCTCCCAGCAGAGCCTCTGCTTGACTCCAAAGACATCCTTCACCCTTCAGGGATCTCTGACCTATTTAGCACCGAGGCAGACAGACAGGAAACAAAGGGATGGTTTTGAGGCCAAGTGGCTTAAGGTGATCTCATGGGACTGATCCATCCCTGCAGTGGGAGGGATTTTGGCTGGGAAAACCCAGTTTGCTTCTGGGAAGGGCTGGGCTGCTCCTTCCCTAAAAAAACCCAAGGGGTTAAATGCAAGAGTTCATCACAGTTTGGGCTGGAAGGGACCTTTAAAGTCATCTAGTCCAGCCCCTGCCATGGCAGGGACACCTTCCACCAGCCCAGGTTGCTCCAAACCCCATCCAACCTGGTCTTGGACACTTGCAGGGATCCAGGGGTAGCCACAGCTTCTCTGGGCACCCTGAGCCAGGGACTCATCATAAAAAATTTCTTGCATCCATCTAGTCTGACAATTTAATTATCCAGCAGGCACAGCAATGAGCCAGCTCCAGGGAGAAAGGAAAGTCTGACACTTGGAACATCAAAAAGCTGCAGGATGTGGGATCTGTTCTGCACAGAGGATGCACCCAAAGCTGCAGTGCCCGGTCAGGGTGACCCCGAGGTAGCAAAAACATCAAGGGATTGCTTTTTGCAGGAAAAGGAGATTCAGAATCAAGCTCCCTCCAACAGGAATGAGCACCAGGAATTATTCTGCTTTGTGTCACACTGATCCATATAAATACCAGCTTTAGCAGAGCTGCCACCAGGGAAGTTTAATTCCCTGTTCACATCCCCATTACTTTGGGGTGTTAAGAGGTGGGTAACTCCAAAAATTGGGGTTTCCGATTGACTGATGACTCCAACTCTGCTAATGAAACATGTTTACAAATGCTGACTGTGTTAATCAAGTACAGTCAAATGAGATTTGCTTTGCAACACACTAATTAATGCTTATGGCTTATGATTCACACAGTTTTGATTTTAATGAAACATTGAGAGGGACTGTCAAAGCCATTTTAATTAAAATACTCCACATTTCACTGCACTCTGCCCAAGATTGAGTTACCTTTTCAGGACCATGTGTTACACTGTGTGTAGTGGAGTTTACTAAGCTATTTAGGAGAATGGACCTTTTAAAGTAAAAATTTTCATATTTCTGACTTCTTGGACTCTCAGTGTCCAAAGAGCCAGAGAAATATTATGTGCATTTACTGGTAATCCCATATTTTAGATCAGATTATCTGGTATTTTCATCCTCCTCTGAACCACTGAGTCTTAAGCAACATGCACAGTTCTCAAGTCGGGCAAAAAAAATCACTTATTTTAAGCCTTTTAACACAGATTCAGTCAAGCTGTGAAAGGGACCATGTTTCATCTCAAACACAGGGAGTGTTAATTTGAGATTTAAAAATAACAGAACACCAGAAAGGAATTAATTGAATTAATTCCTAAGAAGCTCAAACTGATCTTTGTCACATCCCTGTGCAGGTTACAGCACTGAGCAGCAAGAATCCCACTGGCTGTGCCTCAGGACAGACAGACAGGCAATGGGAAACTTGTTCTTGGCAATTTTACAGTGAAAAAAATATTCTTAAAACTACTACATAAAATATTCAAGTGTCTCACTTTTTGGCTAAAAGGGCAGACACAGGCACTTACGAGATGAAGAAAATATCCCTTCCCAAAGAGGGATCTTACCTGGAATAAAAATATCAAATAACAATACAAGAATTAAATGCTATTTCTAGAAAAAAAAATATTAAAAGATCGCCCAACCAAACCAACCAAACATTGCCTATTTGTACAAAATAAAAGACAAAGGAGCCTCAAAAGAAGTCCAGCAATAAGAGCTGATGGTGTTCCCACAGGTTGTTCTGACTCACCTCCAGCAGATTCAGCAGAACTGAGCAAAACTGAGCCATGTTGGCTGAGTAAGTCCCAGTGAGGGAGAGTTATCAGTCACTGCAAGGGCTGAGCAAAGGGAAGCCGTGGGTGCAGAGCTGCAGAGCTTCCTTCAAAAGAATTCTGATTTATTTTCAGCAGATCCACCAACCCCTCGCTTGTGCCGGGGTCTTACCCTCCTGCTGCTGCTGGAGTCACAGATGTGGGCAACAACACAAGAGCTAAAAATGGCAGAATTAACAGGTGTCCCCAGCTCTGGTCTGTGCCTGAGCCTTGCTGCCCATTCCGCAGCGATGCCGACGGTTCCGTGGCATTGTGTGTCCACTCCTTGTCTAAGGGCAACACTCCCAGTGTGGTTCAAGGGCACATTTCTAATGCTCAAAGCACCTGGGATGTTATTCTGTTTGCTAATTAGGACGGGTGGGTTTGTGAGCACTAAAGACACAACACACGGCCAAGATTAAGGCCATGACTATTCCAGCCCTGTTCTCCAAGGAGTTGGACATGGGGTGGTGTGACCCTGACACTCCAAACTCCACCTGTGCAGGAGCCAGTGAGGTGGGACTGGCCATGGATGGGCTCCAGAACTCCCCAAGACATGCTCTAACCTTGTGCAAGCAGGAACTCCACGGTGCCCAGGTGCCCCTCGGACGCTGCCATCATCAGTGGTGTCCTGCCCTGCTTGTCTGCCATGTTCACGTCGGCGCCGTGCGTGAGCAGGAGATCCACGATCTGCAACACACAGAGCCAGCACATGGAGACCCAGCTGGGAAGAGGCCAGAGAAGAGGAAGAGCAGAGTGGAACCCACATCCTAAAAACTCACAGCCCTCAAGGCCCTCTGGGGTTGCAGGAAAAGGAGATTCAGAATCAAGCTCCCTCCAACAGGAATGAGCACCGGGAATTATTTTGCTTTGTGTCACACTGATCCATATAAATACCAGCTTTAGCAGAGCTGCCACCAGGAAAGTGGAAGATTAGGGATTGGGAGAAGCAATGGAGGTATAAGGGCAGGAAAAATGGCCTTCTAAGTCAGGAGCATCCCATTCGTTTCCTAAATGGTGAGATAACCAGAGAAGTTGGGGTTGCCCCATCCCTGGAAGTGTCCAAGGCCAGGCTGGATGGCGCTTGGAACAACCTGGTCTAGTGGAAAGTGTCCCTGCCCATGGCAGGGGGTTGGAACTGGATGGTCTTGGAGTCCCTTCCAACCCAACCTATTCCACCATTCTATGGAAAGACAGGACTTAAGCAAAGCTGTCTGTAAGCAACAAGAGCTGGGGGCGATTGGAGCATCAACATCACTTCTTCTCGCTGTGCTCATTCCCCACAAGAGCTGGGGCTCCTCTTCTCTGCCCCAATTCCAGCGAGACGGAAGGGAAGGCCCGACCCCACACCTGAGGCTGTTCTAAGGAGCGAGGGACCGGCTCACTCACCTGCCAGTGGCCCTGCCTGACGGCGCTGAAGAGCGGGACGACCCCGCGGCGGTTGGGCTGTGCCACGGCCGCGCCCTGCTCCAGGAGCAGCCGGCACACCTCCAGCTTCCCGCGCCCCGCCGCCGCCGTCAGAGCTGCGGGAGAGAGGACAGCGGTCAAGGGAAGGAGCCCCGCGCTCAGCGGAGTGTTCTCCTACCTGGAGATGGGTCTTTCTGCTGGACATCCGAGCGACGGGGCCTGGAACGCCAAACACACCCCATGACAGGCAAAATGGGCAAGGAAAGTGGGCTGGGTTGGTACGGTTCTAGCTCTTGTCATTACAGTTCTAGCTTTTCTCATTTTAGTTACCTCAAAGGTCAGCTCTTCCATGAAAACATCACGGAAAGAGGCTGGTTGAGTCAATCACCTTTCATTATTTTCCCCGAGTCGCAGTGAAACGTGGTAAGAACCACAATAAAATAATGCACAGGCACAGGTGACTGAGGTTCAAGTGTGACTGACATCCAAGGTGTGACCAAGGTTCAAGGTGTAGATGAGGTTAAAGGTGTAGATGAGCTTACAGGTGTTCCTGAGGTTCAGGTATGGCTGCAAAGAAACATGGAGTCCCATCACATGAAACCTTCACCATTTTCCCCACTGCCAAGGCCACGGGCTGTGAGGCTGAAGGGGTCTGAGTAGGGGCTCAATATCCAGAGAAAACACAGGTCTTCAGGTACTTGACAAGACCTTCTTCAACTTGTCCTTGACTCATCCCACCATGACTACAAGGGAGCAAATGAGGGATCAAGCAGCGAGCACCATCAGCTCCCTGACAGACACTCATGCCAGTCACATTTGTGGCTTTTCTCTGCCCCAACAAGCACAGAGCAGTGTAATTCACATGGAGGACTCTTATCTTCCATATCCCACTTTAGCCTGTAGATCTTTGAAACCAGGGAAAAAAATGGAAAGCAAAAGAGGATGAATATGATCACCTGTTCTCCACAAAAAATGCTAATTCTGGGCTTCTTTTCTGGTTAGGGCTGATCCTACCAGCCAGGGTCTTTGTGCAAACCCCAAATTACCTCTCCTTTCCAAATGCTCACAATATCACAGGTGGGCAGAAGCAACACCTGAGAGCTCTTTCCCTGACAAAATGTGCTCTGTTAACTCCCCAAGTGTGGTTGGGTTAGAGAAGACACATTCCATCTGAAAATAGTCCCAAGTTCAGGACCTGCCGGTGACTCGTTTCGGTGTTAATTTTAGACTTCTTGGTTCCTCCCTCTCCCTAACTTTCTGTGCACTTCAGCACAGCTCCTCTGGCTCCACGCTCTGCTGCTTCTGGTAGGAGTTGGAGCAGAAGGTGGGAGTTTATTTCTGCCTGACGTCGCTTGTTTGTTCTTTGAAGTACATTTCTGTGGGTTGGCTGATTACGAGGTGTTGATGGCTTTCCAACTGCAACACTGTTAATGCTGGGGGATTTAATTAATTCTCGATTCTGCTCCACGTTATGGTGGAGTTTGCTTCTCTTGGAGTTGAGAGACACCAAGAGTTAAAAAGAAAAACCATCTCGCTGCCACGAGCAGAACGTTCTGCAAAATCTATAATCGGATCCATGTGGGTTTTAAACGTAAGCTACAAATACAGGAGGAGGCAGAGGGATTGGAATGCAGGGCTCTGGTTCTATTTCTAAACCTGCCTGCACTTGAAATGTTGCAGGTTAATTTGAGGTATTTCACGTCAAAATGACTTATGTTTGCAGCAATGAGAATACTGTAAATCACTTCAGTGTTCATTGTGAAATGTTCTTTGGAGAAGACTTTACTGAAACAGGATTATTTGATCCATGGTTTCTCCACTCTCCCTTGAAATCCCTTCTGCCTGCACTGACATCTCTTTTTGCTGCTGTGTTCCTCAGGGTCCAAGAAACTGGTGTGGGAATGTGGCTCCAGCTTGTCCTCTGCAGCTCCAGCTCCAGGGAAAAGCTCCTGTGCTGCTCAGCAGCCAGACCTTGCTCCTTCAGGAAGGTTCCACACTGATGATCTGGATTTGCCTCCTGCTGCTGAGAAAAACCCATCCAAGCTTGTCTTGTACAGAGCACAGATACCTAAATCCTCATAAATGGAGAAACTCAGCCCAGTTGGACCCCAGAGCCCATTAAGGCACACCCAGACCTCACCAGTGGGAAGGCTGGACTGGAGAACCCCCTGTGGTCCCTCACCTGCCATAAGCTGGACAGGCTGCTGCTCCAGCCCTCAAACCAAAGCAGCTGTTGCCATCCTGTGGCTCACCTCAAGCCCAGAGCACTATCCTGTGGCCGGTATCCAAGTCCAAATGCTCAATTAACCTACTTCAGGAAGAACTCCAGGAGTACCTGCTTCTTTCAGCACTCCTTAGATGGACTCACCAACCTTACAATGGCTTTTAGTCTAAAAAACACACATGACACAAGGTAAGGCTGTGCCTGTGCGTGAAAGGAGACTGGAAAAGCCAAGGAAAGGTGATGAGAGGAACTAAAGGAGATGGAAATGGGTTGGTCTGAAATTTTACTGTCTGCCAGGGAGCTCCTGTGGCCCAGCACAACCAAGGTGAGTCCACCAAGGAGCAGCAACCTGGGCTGGCAAACAGGAATGTTCATTTTGCAGCTGTATCACGAGGATGCAGCGCCAGGAGGACAACTCACTGGGTAATAACCAGGTCTTGGCATAAACACCATAAAACAACCCCCGTGTTTCTCAAAACACAGCTCAACCAAAACCTGAGACCGGGCTCGGGTGTGGACGTGCCCCTCTCCACCAGCATCAAGCCACGGCCTTCAACACCAGGGATCTGCCACAGCACATCCTGCCTTCGCTGCTGTGCGGAGAAGGTGCTGTTTTCTTACAGAAAAAACAACTTTATCTGGAGAAGGAATCACTCAAGTGCTGCTCTCCAGCACATGTATCTGTTTCCCAGCCTGGCAGCAAGACAAACAGCTCGGCGGAGCCGCTCTTTGCACCTCCGACTCCCATGGACTGAGCACAAAGCGACTCAGATACTTTTCTGCTGGGCTTTCATATTGGTTTTGTCCCAGGGGGAAATACTCCATCTGGAGCTGGCTGTAGTGTGCTGTCAGCAATTCCTAAACTTATGATGTCACTTGGCACTGGCATTTGGATGACATCAGGCTGATATCACCAAGCCAAGCACTCGGCTCTGCTCTGGGGAAGATTAGACACGAGCAACAAGTATCAAAAGCCAGACAACCAGGATTCAGAGTTCTAAAGGAGATTGCTATTTTTAGGTGGAAACCAGCGCTCCTCTTCAAATTTATTTAAACTCTCTATTTACCTTTGGGGAAATAATAACAATATAATAATGTGAGAGTCATGAGTTTCATACAAACTTACAGAGTTGTCCCACGCAGACCAAAGTCTGCTCAATTTGGTGGTTGGTTCACTTTTGCTCACTTACCCACCTCACCAATTTTAATGGGATAAACGGATATTCCTTTGTGGTGAGCCCTCAATTTGTGTGTGATTTGTGAATCACAAATTCACATTCCCAACTGTCCCAGTTACTCAGAAAACCCTCTCTGACAGAGAAACTCCCAGATGCCTGGTTAGTCCAGCTTTTGGCATTGTTGGGGGCAGAGGTATGGGAAGGGGGACACCAGAGATGGAGCAGGCAGGTTGTGAATGTCAGAGCTGCCCAGGGCAGGAAGGGAAGGGCTTATCTGTAGTGCCTGATGCTGCCCATGGGGTTACTTTGCAGGGCTGAGTGGCTTTAGATCAAACTCTGAAGGCATCTGATCATGGTCCTATTTAAATGACAGTCCTTGTGACCCAAATACCAGAGAACAACTTGGATGATCCAAATTCTGCAAAATCTATAATCGGACCCATGTGGGTTTTAAATGTAAGCTACAAATACAGGAGGAGGCAGAGGGATTGGAATGCAGGGCTCTGGGTTCTATTTCTAAACCTGCCTGCACTTGAAATGTTGCAGGTTAATTTGAGGTATTTCGCGTCAAAATGACTTATGTCATGACTTATGACCAGTCCTTATCTCAGGACTGGTCACCCACTGTGAGCTCACTGGTACAAAGCCCCTGTCCTGTTACCAACACTCGGCCATTTCACTCGGCTGATTCCATATCCAGTTCCTTTTTTTTCACATGACACCCCAAAGCACTTTGAAATTCCTTATTTGTATCTGTTGCCCTTATTTCCTCTAATAATGGCCCCATGGCCTTGCTGCTCAGTTCCATTCCCATGGGGACAGGAGTTGGCTCCTTCCTCAGTGCCCTGCCAGTGGCCCGGGGCAGCCTGGCCGCTCCCTGGGCTCTTCCCAGGACACCTCATCCCTCAAGCTTTGTCCTTTGGAGCTCAGGGCAATGCTCTCTGGCACACTCCATTCATCACAAGGCTCTAATAAGGCCACATTTTCAAAGGTACAGCTACAAACCAGCTCCAAATACAACCCTGCCCCCTCCAAAGCAGAAACAACGCAAGCAAAGACTGAGCCGCGCTCCAGCCGCCCTCTGTCCCCTTGGATCGTGTCATTTTTAAGCCAAGCTGACAGAATCACCATCCGTGCCCTGCTCCCCAGACAGGAACATTACCTGGGTGTATGAACCTGACAGCAACATCACCAGTGATGCAAGTGGAGCAGTGAGTTGAGTACAAATGACAGAGGATAATATTTATGAGGTCGCTGGAGTTAAAAGCAAACAACTCCATGCTGGAATGGCTCAAGAAATGGAGATGTTAGTGGAGCAGAAGGGATGGATGGCTGCCTTTGTTTTGGGAGAAGTCAGGAAAGAAGGGATTTTGTATTGTACCCATCAATGCAGAAATGAAGGACTTCACTAAAGGGCATTTGTTTAACTACCAGGTGCTAAATAATGAGGAGTTTTCAGAAAATCAATGGATAATTTAACAACCATAGTGCTGCATGTAATGGAGAGGGGGAGAGAGAAACAGGGAGATTCTTTGGATAAATATGCCCAATATCAAGAGAGAAAGAGCAGAACTGAGTGTCCATCTCATGTTTCAGGGAAATCAGTGACCTGGTCAGAATGCTCAGTGCCTCACACTCCCGAAAAGAGCCAGGAGCTGCAGAAGCTCAGAATTTTCAAACCCAAACTTCTCTGTTCTCCTTAAGCTGAGTGCAAAGCTCCACCCTGGCCCCTGTTAATCACCTGGCATCAAACCAGAGGAACCGATCCTTCTTCATCAAAGCAATGCCTGGGATCAGGGATGCATCAGGGGCAGGAAGCCAAATAAAAGAAACACAGACATGCACAAAGAAGCTACAGAATCTACAGAAATCACCTGTCTCTCCCCAGAGGCTGTCAAAGCTGTTGATCTGTGCTCTCTCCACCTCCTCTTCATCTTTTTCTGGCAGATCGAGCAGGTAGGAGACGATCTGAAACAAAACGACCTGTCAGCTCACGAACCCGGCTGAGGTGGATGGAAACTGCTGACACCTCGACACGAGCTGCTGGGAATGCACAGAGGGGAGGGAACAGTCTCTGCCTGGCACCCTGAGCTCAAGGAAATGTTCTTCCAGAGGTCAGTCACTGAACCTGTACGAGCAAAAAAACCCCACCCAAGTGTCTCGATGAGCCCCGGGAGGGTCAGTTCCCTAAAACTGTCTGGAGATGCCCCAGTGTGTGCAGTGGATGCCTCTCCAGGAGGAGGTGAGGCTGTGAGGAGGTATTTGATTGAAGAGAAACCCATTCTCAGGAGAGGAGAAGGAACAGGGGCTGCCATGGGCAGCTGGGGCCGGCAGCAGCGCTTGGGTTGGTAGTGCTGGGTTAATGCTGTGACTTGACCTTAAAGACCTTTTCCAACCTAAATGATTCCATGCATCGTTTTCCCACCACAAATCTTTGCCAGGATGGCAGGAGGAAGCTCTCTGGCTCTTCCCTCCCCCAACACACAATCCAAAGCTACATGGTCTCACCCTCCCCGACCGTGCTGGAGGAGCAGCGTAAGCAACGCGCTGCTCAGCCACCTCATCCTTAAAAGTTTATTCCAAACATTTATTCCAACTACTTAAAGGCTTGTTATGCTCCCTCTCTTGGAAACCAGCCCAGAGCACAGGACAGAGGTAGTGACTCCACCTCCACAACCATCTCTGGCTAACGTTTTGGCCTGGCAGGAGCCAGCCCTTGGTTCCCCTCCCCGCAGAGCCGTGTGGGTCCTACCTCGGTGTAGCCCATGCTGGCGGCGGCGATCAGGGCCTGCTGGATGGCGTGGCTCTTCTTGAACACCCCCTGCTGCTGCCCAGCCATGCTCCAGTCACACTGGATCAAGAACTTCACCACCTCCAAGTGTCCTCTGAGGGCGGCGTGGACCAGGGCACACTGACCGTTCTTGTCCAGATGATCCACCTTGAACAGAGATGACAAAACACAGTTAAACCAAATCACGGGCACGACGTCTTTGCTTCTCCAGAGTTTCCAGCCCCGGCTTCAGAATAAAGCCACGTGTGCAAAATGTGCATTTTTCTGGTAAACTGTCCCTTCCATGACCAGAAAACAACCATTCCCAAAGCAACATCCCAGGCTCTGGCATCCTCTTGGCCACAAGTGTTTGCTTTGGGGAAGGCATCATTATTTTTTTAGCTGCCTTCAGTTTTCTTCAGACTCAAAGGCTGCAAAAGCATTTTTCCCTTTGAGTCCTGAAGTCCAGCAATCGAATTTTCTTGTGGATTGAAATCACACACGCTGATACCACCTCCTTTAGCCAAATCCACAGAAGGAAAATCAGCCTGTTTTCCAGATGCCATTTCTTTTGAGAGACCCAGAAGTGCCTCAGCCTGCAGCCGGACGCTGTAACGTGAACCCAGGGCAGGCACGGTCAGAAGGAAACAGAGACAGTGCTTGGCAGCCCTGGAGGAACTTATTTGGTTGTATCTCAGAGCATGAATACATCAGCTGGGATTTCTAGGTCCTATCTCAACACCAGGAACTTGGAGAACACGGGAAAGGAAGATCAGTTATCACCCTCCTGCTGGTTAACCCCTTCAGTGCTCTGCAGCATATTACTTCTCATAAAAATAGGAAATTATTATTATTTTAATATATTTTACTAATATTAATTCATAGAATCTCAGACTGGTTTAGGTTGGAAGGGACCTTAAAGATCATCCAGTTCCACCCCCTGCCATGGGCAGGGACACCTTCCACTAGCCCAGGTTGCTCCAAGCCCTGTCCAACCTGGCCTTGGACACTCCCAAGGATGGGGCAGCCACAGCTTCTCTGGGCACCCTGTGCCAGGGCCTCACGACCAAATTACAGTTATATAATACATATAAGAAATATTTCTCACCTTGTAACTCATTCACAATAATAATATATCAATATTTCTCCTTTTTCAACTCCTGCAACAATCAGTGTTGCAGTTTAACTGCAAATATCTCCATCTTTAAAATAAACCCAGCTGGTTTTGGGGTATTTCCTCAGCACTGTTGGGATGCTCAAGGAAAGCTGTTAGGGGTAGGACTTCTGTCACCAAACTCTTCTCAAAATATCCCAACAAAAGCAAAATTCTTTTCTTCCTTCATACTGTCTTCACATTATTACAGACAACACAACCCAGCAAGATCTAAACAGTCCCTCAGTCATCCTGACTTTCATACCAAAACTAGAGAAACCCATATTTTGCCTTTTGAACTGAAACTAATCATATAGAGAAACCACAAATTGTTTCCAGCAGGCTCCACTTCAAAAATCAGCACAATTTTCTTCTTCAACAAAGTATTTCAAGTTGACTCATTATATACAATTAAAACTCCAAACACTCGCCACAAAGCTAAACAAAAGGGATTTTTCTGGGACAAGTCTGATGGAAGTTTTTGGAAAATGTGTCTCAAGGAGATATTTAAAGAACGTTTTATGCTGGAAAAGCATTGCCATTTTAACGTTGTGAGGTTCCTCCAGGACATCCCCTCTGCAGGTCACCAGCACAGGGACATCGGGCAGCTCCTACCTCAGACCTGAACTCCACACACTCTTAATTATTCTCAGGAGTTCCTCAGCTTTGGTGTCAACGTGGGATTTTTAAAGCCACTGTGTTTTAGCAGAAAAGCCAACCCCAAAAGGCTTCATCTGCTGGAGGGTGTTCCCTTAGCGAGCGCTCCGTGTCCTGCAGCTCCCGCCCTGCCTTGCACAGACATGGAACAGCTGAAATCAGCTTTCAGGGGACGGTGGCCACTTTACCTTGGCCCTTTTCTTGCACAGCAGCACCACAATGCTCAGGAATCCGGCAGCAGCCGCGTAGCCAAGGGGGGTCAGGCCGCTCTCCGAGGCGGCGTCGACGTTGGCCCCAAACTCCAGGAGCAAAGCCACCATCTCGGCGTAGCCCAGGTGGGACTGGACACACAGGATGGGGGCGTTGTTCAGCACTTCTGTCCTGTAATTCACGTTTGCACCTCCCAAAATCAGCAGCCGACTGACCTGGACGGGAAAGGAGAGCAGTTGGCTGAGAGTTCTGGAGAGACGGGAGTTTATTGTCAGGGTGACAACAGAACGTTACACCAGGGCCCTCTGCACATCTCCAAACAAACAGCAGAGGACATGAAATGCTGAGTGAAACCACTTGCCCAATAGATGGTGCCATTTTAGGTAGATGGAGCAGTTTAATCTGTCCCTGAGTGGTTGATAAGTGGTTTGAGTGGTGCAGCCTCCCTTTGTTTGGGAACAAAGTCACTCCAGCCCTGCTGCAGCAGCTGCAGACACGGCGTCTCACCCCAGGATGGGGACTGAAACCACGCAGCTGGAGAGAACTGTACTCAGCATCCTTCCCCTGGGATCCTCCCTAGGGCTGGCTTTGGTTATCCCTGCACAGCTCCCTCTGCACTCGGCAGCCGTGGAAAAAGTGGCAAGGAAGGGACCTGGGGACAGGGCTCACCTAATATGGATGGGGAGGAGCTGGGACAAACATCCTTCCACATGAGGAACAATTCCAAACCCATATCCCTGCCTGAAATCCTTTCTGCTGCAGAGATGGGGTCATTTTAAGTCAACACATTCATCCTTACAAAGCAAAACAGGGGCCTGAACTAGCACATGGGCACGTGGGTTTGGTGTCACATCCGAGTTCGTGCCTGTCTGAGCCAGAGCCCTTTATGCCACATTCCAACAAGAGCTGTTTCATTCCACATTTCTGAAGAGGAAAACCCCCAGAGAATCATTTTGCACAGGCACAAACTCACTGTTCACTCCTTGCAATTAAAAGGAGATTCCTGGTCCATGCAGCAGAGTTGAGGGACCATCCCAGATGGTAAAACATCCCAACTGGACTCACGGCCTCTCCCCACCTCAGGACAAACACCCAGGAAGCTGCTCAGCCTGGGCAGGGCACTGCCATGGACAGGGAGCTCCTCTGGATCCTCTGTGTGTGGTTACTGCTCATCACTGGAGCTTCCTGTGCCACCCCAGCTCTCCCTCCCCCTCCTCCAGTACCTTTATGTTTGGGGTGTAGAGATTTCTCAGAGATGCCAAAGCCATGGAAAGACCTTCAGTACTGTAGGAGATCCAAAGCCCTTGGAGGATGGAGGAAGACACCCCAACTTTTTTACTCAGCCCCTAAAAAAAGAGAAGATGACTGAGACCCAAGCTCACAAATCTGCTCCATTACACCAGGCAGACCCTCCTGGTCCTTTGGACTTCAAAGAATTTCAGGACAACAATGGCTACACCCAAGATAATGCAATGATTTGCCACATCTGACCTTTGCAATCGACTAAAAAACTTGTAGGAAAGAGCTTGTAAAGGTTGTGTAGCCATTTCCAGGGTCTAAGGAAGGCAGGATTAAACTGTGAACAACCAGAATCCATTCAACACCCTCACCAAGTGCTGTGCTAAGGAGCACAGGTTGCTGCTTTTTTTTTTCTTTTTTAATAAAATACTCATTATTTTGGCAGGACTGATTCACAAATTTCCTTATTATTCACACAGTTAAACCAGAAGACAATGTCTGCTCACAATAAGGTAAGTTGAGGAACTCTCAACCACAGCCTGGAGCAGTATTCCCCCTTCTCATCTCCGACCTTTCCTGCTGGTGTCCACGATCAGGTTATACATAACATACAGGAAGTCTGACGTTTTCCAGAAAGATTCCAAAATATGAAATATTTCCCAGCATCACTAACTGGCAGAGCACAGAACTGTAGGTTTCTCCCTCCTGTGCAAAGAGCCATAATTGCTCTGTAGCCAACAGATGGGAGTGAACAGCTGGATGGAAGAGGAGAGGGATGGGATTGGAGCTCCAGGAAGGAGCCTGGCTGCGTGCTGTGCTCGCTGTGTGATGTGGGTACACCCTAAACGTTGCTGTTCTGATCCATTTCCCATTAAACCCTGCTGTTTCCATGGAAACTGCACAGACAGCCTTAATTCTGTTTTGATATGCAAACCCTGATTTCCACTTCCCCGCACGCCGGGGGGGGTCACTTGTATCCGTGCAAAACAGCAGGATCACAGTTCCAGCTTGTAGGACTGAAAAGGTGGGAACAAAACCAGCAGCAAAAAGTGGGATTGTTTCCTCTTAGGGAAGATGTGCAGGAATCAGCATCTCCACCTGCTGCTGCAGGTCTGTAATTCCGACGTGGGGAAGAGACTCCACAGCATCGCTCCAGCCATCAACAGATTTGTCACTTGGAACAGTTTTATCACCAAAAGAAGCAACAGATTACACAAGCTCTTATAAATAACAGCTCCATGTGCTTGTTTCCTTAAAATTCAGGCAGCTAAACTGAGGAAAAGATCTGCTTGTGCTAAGAGGGAGAAGAGAGATCAGGAATTTGAGCCACTGCTAAATGCAGCTTTTGAAATGACACAATGCAGGACATTAAAGGTCGAGATTAAATTTCATGAACTCAGGATGGTGTAATTGGGAAATGGGAAACAATTTTATAATAAACGGTTAAAATAATTTAAAAATTGTTATACTACTATCAAGCCCATAAATAAGGTGTTTGAATCACCATCAAGGACCAAAGAAAAGGGTAGATATTTTGAGAACAGCCCTCTGAAGAAAATCACAGATGCTATAAAAATCTTAACTGTTGCATTAGAATATATATGTTTAGATATTAGTGCAAGACCTAAAAGGTGACATTTATGCTTTAAAGAAAAAAATACATTCAACACCATCAGCATTCAGTTGCTAAAAAAAACCTGCACTATTTCTCATTTTACAGCTTGTATCTTCCTTTTCTTATATTCCCTTTTCAGAACTCCACAGGTTGAATCCTTCAGCAAAAGCAAATTTCAGTGTGATACAACATCAAACCAAAACACCACCAGTGGTTCCCACTTCACTGGGATCATCCAAAATGGGACCAAGGCATGGCCTGACCATTTGAATAACTTTGCCAACCCTCACAACCCCAGTGTCCAGAGCTGGTTTCTTCTGTCCTGTCTGGTATGCAGCTGTCAGCATCTTTAATTTTTGACTTATCACTTCCTCTGCTATTTGGCAACTTGCACCTTATGGAATCCCAGACTGGTCTGGGTTGGAAGGGACTTTAAAGACCATCTCATTCCACCCCCTGCCATGGGCAGGGACACCTTCCACTAGACCAGGCTGTTTAAAGCATCACCCACATCTGGATTACTGACATTTGAACTAATTTAAGATTAAATTAAAGCCTCCTCTTTGCTTGATTTGCAAAACATACGTCAGCCTGAAGTTTGGGTCTTCTTGTACGACAACTGCACATTTCTCTTTGTGCCCTTTCACTCCATGCCAGGCTTTCCAAGCTGGCTTTCCATATGCTCCTGTTAAGACTGGTAACTGATTAAAAAGATTAAAAGATTTTAATTTTTCTTTCTTTTTTTTCCCCCCAAACTGTGTTTGGGGGATGTTTGTGTTTAAAAGAGAAAACCAGCAGATCTCAGCCAGCGAGTGAAGAGGGGAATGTGAAAGTGTCTTCCCACCAATGTGTCAGGTCAGCACCTGAATTTTTACACCTGGAAATTCCAACTGTTCCATCATCACCTTGTCAAGGTACCAGAGGATTGGGGAAGGATAAAGACATTTTCTGCACTGTTTTATCAAAGTTTGCCTCTATACCCAGCTCTCAGTCTCTGAATAAAACACTTTAGTCCTGTTATAATCTTCTCCTGGCTTTTTGATGGGTAAATAAAACAGAATTACAATGGCATCAGGCCTCCATAAATACCTTCAAAATTAGGATCTTTGTGTCTGCAGAAAGCTGCTGCTATAATATGGGAACTTGAGGAAGAACATCCTGAATTGATGACCTGACACGTTCCCTACTTGGCAGAAAACCCACGGCCAGGCCGGTAATGCTTCAGCAAAAGATCAGACAGAAAGAAAAGCCTGAATGGAAAAAATGCTTGTTTAGAAACAAATAGAGCTGGTTACAACAGGCAAAGAGCCTGTGCTTGTACTCTAGGAAATATTTTGTTTAAAGAATGCTCGAGATCTTAAACACAGTCTGTAATATTCCAGCCTAATGCCTCCTTCAGAAACTAATGCAGCTCTTGTTCTGTGCAGTAAACACTCACAAATCCTCAGTAAACACTTGTTAAAATAAGGAAAAAAAATAAATCTATTCAAGGAAAAGCAAAAGACTAAGTTACAGTTTGTAATCTAGCTAAATTCAAACCCTTCCAAAACTTTGTGGTACTTCCAACCAACCAACGTTCTGTTCTGGTTTTCTGTCACTGGTCTTCCTGCAGTGTTGGACACCCAAAGGTTTTGCTGAGTGATGAGGAACAGAAGGCTGGACTGACATTTCTCATATGCTAATTGGCTTTTTCTACTACTGTAAATATTGCTCAATTAAACCTGGAATCTGTAGACAGCTCGGCCACTCCATGAAAATTGTCCTTTGCTCAGAGCCTGAATCCCTGTTATTGGTTTCCACCATGAAAGTGTGGAATGGAGAAGGTCTGGAACCAGATTCAGACCTAAATGGCAGCTGAGCAGTAAACTCAGGGCTGAATCTGGCCTTGGGAATGTAACTCAAAATGTGAAATGACACCCTGAGGATAAAATGCTGAGCTGGGGTTCTTCCCTTTGGATCCAGCCATTGCCTTCCCAAACGAGGAGACTTTGCTGCTACACCTGATGGGGAAACTGGTGCAGTATTTGTTGCCCAGGGAAGGCAGTAAATAACTCCAACAGGACTGACACAAGGCACAAACCACCTGCTTGCTCTAGGAATACCCACAGCAGTGCTGAAGTTATAAAATCCTGTACAGACCAGATGAAAGTACAGCCTTGTTTTTACCGGTGTTAAACACTCACAGATCCCAACAGCTGTAAGAAATTCCGTATTTCCTGTGACCTTAAAAATCCACCCTCTAATTCTGATCCTCTGGTACCTGGGCAGGCAGGAAGAATGACATTTATGGGTCATCCTGATGCTCACACCAGAGTTTGCCTTTCAAATACCCAGGTCTGAAATGCCTGTGTGAAGAGGAACGTGGAGTGACCAGCCAATGTTAACAACCAGCAAATTTCCCCTTTAGCACCTAAATTTAGCGTTGGATTCTTCAAATCCGCTTTTAAAAGATTTCTCTTTTCTAGATGCTGTTACAAGAACTCATCTTACAGGGGAGGAAACCTCTTAGGCTGGAGAGCAAGTTTTAGGGAAGGAGGCTATCTGCCGAATTTCCAGGCTGAAGGAGGGTTTAATTTCAAGTATTTCTTAGATACCACTGCCAATTTTCCAAACTTCTACTCGCTCCAGCAGCCTCAGGCAATCACACTCTTACACCAACCCCACGACCAGACACGACTGAGCACTGCCAGTGCTGGGGATGAGCTTGGTGTTAAGTCTTCATTTGAATTTTTGTTACCTTAAAAATATGTGCTTTGAGGATGTGATGTCCCAGTTCAATAGTTTGCTGTCGATTTAATTTTCCTTCTTGTCGGGAAAACCAGAAGGCAAGCAGGGTGTGGCCACTCCTAAAATGAGAAGAAAGAGTATGTTAGGATTTCTTGTTACACCAACAAAACAACTTTTGAGGGTAATTTTTGCCCCTGCTAATCCTTCAACCTCATCCAGCTTTGGGAAACAGAGGTGGATGAATTCTCACCTGTGAAGCACCAATTAATTGTAAGCACTGATAGCTCAAAACACCCCAAACATTGGAGGACAGCAAAATAACCCCACCCAATAGATTTTCTATGAGCAGATGTAAATTTGAAAACAGCAGAGGTACAATTCCATGAAAACTGAAGTGCCACTTTTCTAGTCATTTAACAGAGAAGAACCACACTTGCAAAGCTTGTCACCAACCCTGGAGTCACTAGAAAATGCCATATTTAGAATAACCACACTTTGAAAAAAAATGTCCTTTAAATGACACCTGCACTTTCCACCCTGTGCCAGACCTGCAGTGAAGCTTTATTTCCTTGTAAACACATTCTCCAGTAATAAAGATGCTTCTGGCCATGACCTACCAGGTTGACAACCAAAGCAAATTAACTGAGCTACACACCAGGCCCTGTTTAAGGCAAAATATAATAAACCAGACAACAACTTCCACCGCTAAAGGTCATTTTTATTGATATTTTTAAACATTTACAGACTTCCAGCTTGTAACACTGCAAGTCCAACATGGGTGAATCTTCTCAAAGATGTGAGAAGCTGATTCTCCACAGACACACAGAACACACAGGGTGCAAAAATGTGAAGTTTTAATATAATTTCTGGGCAAAGCAGCAAATACCTGCCCCTGCAGGAGATGCAGCAAGCAGGGCAGGAGCTGCTGAGGCTCCACGCTGGAACCTCGGTGGGCTGTGTCTGCTGTTTCCTTGGTTTTACCAACAAAATTACATTCTTCCTTAAGCCCCTGGGTGCTCCCAAGGGAGTCCTTTTAACCCACTTCATTTCTGGAACTGTATAAAAATGTGACTACACTGAAAGCAATCAAACCCCTCCTGGCCAAGGAAAATAAAACATGAGATCAACCGTGGCTTTAAAAGGGCTTTTAAGGACAGGGAATGTTATTAGCTCATCCCTGTCTGGTAAAGCAAAGAAATCCTTGGGATGGCCAAACGTCAAGTAAATATTACACAGGATAGAAGCTTTTACAACAGTGGGGATTTACCAGCTCATCCACACCCAGGGAGAATGATTTTCCATCTCAAAATAAACCAAAACAAGAAAAGAATAAAAGCACAATGCTTGTAATGCCCTGGCCAGGTGTCTGGCAAGGTGCCCCCCCAGGCCCTGCCAATGAACCTCCTTTAGGAGCAGTAACACATGGATTCATGGGAGTGGGGCCTGGGGATGCTCTGCCAGTGGATGTGCCCACTGGAGGAGTGGGATGAGAAACAAATCACCTTTTTCTTACAAGGCAGGGCTTGATCCTCAGGTTTGGACAGGTGGAAGAGCACCACATCCCTTTTACAGGTAATAAACTCTTGCACTGGTGAGGAATCCTGTTGTGCCTCATTCCGGAATGCAACTCAATTTACAGAGGCACCATCAACTCAAGTAACTGTTGTCTGAAATGTTTCCATGGACTGACAGTATCTCCATCCTCAGGGTGACTTGAGCACCAAAAGAAAGTGAGGAAAACCCCTTTTTTTGCCGGGCAAGCTGCTCTCCACACCCTGGCCTGGCACAGGGCCCGTGCCGGGATCCCATCGCTCCACACTTCCCATCCATGGAGAAGGAGAAGCCTCTCCAGATGGTGACTCTGCCCAGCACAACAGAGCTTTGATACCTCAGCTGAAGCTTCGGATCCGTGAGGACGCCTCTGTGCACAGGGCAGGGCCTCCCATCCCACGCGTCTGGGCTGTGAGAATTCCCCAAATAGCACCGACAGAAGGGACAAAACACAAAAAGCTGGGACAACAGAAGGGCCTTGGAAGTGGTTGTAGCACCTTGAGTTAACCACAGCCTGCTGACTTCTTTTGGCTCTTCTCCTCTTTGGAATGGGAGGAGGACATCAGGTCACAGCCTTCTGGAGGAGACAGACAAATGCATTTACACTCCAGGAATGCCCGTGGGAAGGAGGAATGGATCAGAAGGAAACAAGTGACTGAAACACAGCCTGAGTGTTGCCAAGTACAGCTGGAAGTCAACGGGAGCAGCAACTGCTGAGTTTTATTTGGCCCCATTAGGACAGATTATGAAAACCTGTATTGGCTGTTTATATATACACATATTGCAATAAATCACCAGATTCATGATGCTGTGGTTGCCATTTGGAGAAGGGCCAAGGTGTTCACCTCCACACAAAGGTTGGTGCTGCAAGGTCAAGAACTTATAGAGGGTGGATAGGAGAACTGGAGAGGGACTTTGGACAAGGACCTGGATGGACAGGACAATGGCTTCAAACTGACAGAGAGTAGGTTTAGATGGGATATTGGGAAGGAATCCTTCCCTGGGAGGGTGGGGAGGCCCTGGCACAGGGTGCCCAGAGAAGCTGTGGCTGCCCCTGGATCCCTGGAAGTGTCCAAGGCCAGGTTGGATGGGGCTTGGAGCAACCTGGGCTAGTGGGAGGTGTGGCTAAGGGGGTGGAACTGGATGATCTTTAAGGTCCCTTCCAGCCCAAACCATTCTAAGGTTCTGTGATTCCACAAATCAGAGCCATCAGCTCCTTCCCTTTGTGAGGATCAGGAACCACATCCTGCTGCTGCAGACCGAGAGTGGCTGCACACAGGGAGCCTTCAGCCATCCCCTCTGCCTCGTGTTCCACATCACAGGACAGCAAATAACAGCAGTTGTTTGCTTGCTGCTGGAAAACCCTTAGATAACTTTTGGGAGGGCCCTGAACAGTGCTGTAACTGCATTAATCCCATGCGTGAACTGAAGATCCAGAAGCTTCCAAAGTGCCTGTTCTTCGCAGCAGGAGCTGAAGTGCAGCTCCCTCCTGACACATCAGCCCAGGTTCCACAGTCAGCTCCTACACTGCTTTTCAGCTGCAGCTGGAAGGGTATTTACCTAAATTTAATTACAGGCATGACTTTGGTGTTATGAATAAGGCATGTACGAACTATTCCAGAATAAAGTACAGGATTCATGAGTAATATATTACCTCTGCAAAGCTTCCCAGACCTTGGCTTTGGGCTGGCTGATAAACACTTGCAGTCACTTGTTCTGTCAATGTTAATTGGAAACTAAACAAGACTGCAAGAGCACAGGCTTTTTTTTTAATTTTACTTTTCCTTTTTTTTTTTTTTTAATAATACAGGAGAGTGGCAGTAATGATTTCTACATCAAGGAGCTCGTGAAATGATTTGCTTTGAGTTTCACCACTGCAGAGTTTATCATCAGAGATTCTTCTATTTTTAATGTAAGATTTCTTTTTTTTGGTGAAAAATTAATAGCCCTGCCAGCTCAGTTTCTGCAGCTTTTGTCTGCTCTCAGTGCCTGTATCAACTCCTGGGATGGTCAGGACTGTCTGCCTGGATGGGCACATATATGCGTGTGTGTGTATACATATATCTATCTGTAAAAAAGACAGAAAGATGAGTCTTAATCCTTCCAACCCCCTACAAAGCACAGCCCAGTGCACACCTCCAGCAGCTCTAAGGAATGTAAATATAAGTGAAAGCTGCACATGGGCACAGGGGGAGATCACAGAATCATGGAATGGTTTGGGTTGGAAGGGACTTTAAATCTCATCCAGTGCCACCCCTTGCCATGGGCAGGGACACCTTCCACCAGCCCAGGTTGCTCCAAGCCCTGGCCAACCTGGCCTTGGACACTTGCAGGGATCCAGGGGCAGCCACAGCTTCTCTGGGCAACCCGTGCCAGGGCCTCCCCACCCTCCCAGGGAAGGATTTCTTCCCGATATCCCATCTAAACCTACTCTCTGTCAGCTTGAAGCCATTCCCCCTTGTCCCCCTGTCACTCCATGCTCCTATAAATAGATGCTGGATGTGCTCCCTACACATCTGCTCCCTTATCCACCCAAATCTGAGGCACACACAGAGCAGGGGGACACAGGGAGTTGGTACCTCAAGCACATCCCTAAAATGACACTGTCCCTTGTGACACAGATGGAAGGGGACAAGGTGTCACTAATAAAAGAGATTAAAGGGTGTAAAATTACTCCAGCATTAAGGTGCTGCAGCACTGGAGTAAAACACAGGCAAAAACCCAAATGAGAATCAGTCCTGTTCACTTCTGAACCCACCAAATTCCCTGATTTACACCCATATCTCCCTTCTTCCAGCTAATCCCATGAAAATATTCCAAAAGCAAGAGATTTGACACTGTGCCCAGCAAATCTGGTCTTCCAAAAGCCGTGTATTCATGTTCTATTCAGCTCTGCAGAGTGCAATGTTTTAACTCGAGTGCAGAGACTCGAGTGTGCTCTGACAAAGCCTGGAGCCTCTTCCCTTGCAGAAGGATGTCCAGATGTCTGTCCTGGCTGCAGAAAGGCCAAGCTCAGCTCCATGAGCTCCTCTGGAAGGATCAGTTAATCACCAAAGTTGATTTACTGATTTTTGTAACGCAGCTCCCCTCTGATGTTGTAACTGCAAATTAACTTGGAAGGAATTAACATTTTAAAAGAAAATCCCAACAAACCAGGGAATGCTCTTCAGCACGTGATATTCCTTCCTAAGGAATCAAACACTGGTTTAATTTGCTGAGCTAACTGGGACAGCCAAGTTCAAAGCCAAGAAAAACTTTCCTGTCCCTCGGGTCAGATCTCATTGCAGAGAGAGAAGCTGTGGAGTATCTGCTCAAACACCATCACCCTGCCCAGAAGTCACTGAGGACACAGCAGTGCTGTGCTACCAATTCCAGCTGCTGTAGAAACTGCAGACACGTTTCCTGGTGAGCAGGATAAGGATCCCAAGCCAGCAGGGCTGCTGCTGCTTTCTTCACCATAACACATTGACAACATCATCAGCAACCCAGAGGAACATCTCATGGCCTCAATCATACACTAGAAATCCATCACTGTGGGCAATAAACGAGACATTTCCAGGCTAAAGGG